TCTTGTGATGGGTTGTGATAAGGAGGTTACATCAGATTAGGGTAGGGATCTGCAACCTTAAACCATTTGAGGTTTAAGAGCCATTTGGACCCATTTCTCAAAGAAAAGAAAACACTGGGAGCCAATAATTTAACAACTGGTGTGACTGGGTGGGCGGGGCCAACTCAACGTCATTCACTCTCACCCAGTCGCCTCCTGCTCTGGAATATGGAGTGAGTCTCCATCCCCCACCATCATCCTTATCTTCTCAGACCAGGCGAGGAGTGATGGGGAAGGAGGGGATGGGTGCGCGGCCAGCCAGTGGTGGGATCAGCTGACAGGGAGTTGCAACAGAAGGCTAAAAGAGCCTCATGTGGCTCTAGAGCCGCAGGCTGCAGATGCTTGGGTTAGGGTCATTGGGACAGGAACTTCGGGGAGTGGGTTTTCAAGTGTTGGTTGAGGGTCAGTGCCATCTCTGGTTGGCTGTGTGGTTGATTTGGATTCTGAGGGGTTCATAGGTTGGTTGTAGGTTGATGTGTCTGTTGATTATAATGCTTGTGGAGTGCCAGGCTTCAATGAACTCAAGAGCATGGCGTGTGGTAGCGTGGCCAATAATTTTTGTGTTGTTCCAATCAAACTGGTGTTTGGTGTTGGTGTGGGTGGGGATTAAGGTCTATGGAGATTCTCAGTCTTCCAGGTCATAGTTGTCTCAAAGGTGCTTTTTCAAGAGGCAACTGGACTTTCTGGTTTTTCTTTGAAGATGCTTCACTTCTCATCCAAGAACCTTCTTCATCTCTGACTGGATGGTGGGGAATGGAAGGATTTATATACTCCTTGCAGATAGCTGGTCATTTGCATCCTTTTTGAGAGCTGTTGAGGCCACCTGGAGGTTTATCTGTGTCCTCAGGGTCACTGGAGTGGTGCAAACAGGTGTAGAGCCTTCTTGGAACTGCTGAAAGGACTGTGTTGTAGACTAGAGATAGATGATGTCATATCCCTCCCCGTCTGTTGAGAGACAGCTGTTCAATTTTGACATCGATGGCCTCTTTGACCCGTCTTTCAAACCAGCAGTCCTCTCTGCCCAAAACGTGGACTTTGCTGTCTTCAAAAAAGCGGCCTTGGTCTTTCAAATGCAGATGGACTGCTGAATGTAGTTCCTGATGGGTTTGTAGAGATTAAGGACTTGAGATTGTGGCGTTGACTGCCAGCCGGTGTTCGTGGAGCCTGATTTTCAATTTAACTCCACAGAAGATGATGTTACCTAGCCTGGTAGCAAAATGTTCAGAAACCAACCCAGTAGCTTGGAGAACAATCCTTCACCGTCCACCTACACCTGAGCTACAGGTATCCATCACTATTGCAGAGAGAAGTTCCATGATGATGGGCTCCAGCACAAGTCCAAAAGCTCAGAAGATTAAACTCTAGTCCCAGTGACCGACCCAGATTGCATCTTGCAGTCAGGGCTTTCTTTACATTGTCCTGTTGTTGGTGTGCTCATGAGCTAATAAGTAAGTGAATCACTCTAACTAAATGAAATAAAGGTAAAGTTTTACCTCACACTTACGTGCTAGTTCAGGCTTGTCCAACCCACGGCCCGTGGGCCTCATGTGGCCCAGGTCGCCTCGTAATGTGGCCCAGTGCCCACCCCAACCTTTGTGCCAGAGCCAGCGAGGAGGAGGAGGAGAGGCAGGCACGAGGCGGGGTGAGGCGAGTGCCATGCCAAGCAGCAACAGAAAAGGCGGGTGCCATCAGAGTGCCACCTCCTGTTGCCGCCCCCGCCGCAGCTGCCCCCACCGCCGCTGCTTCTGCCCCCGCCGCCGCTGCCGCTTCTGCCCCCGCCACCACTGCTTCTGCCCCTGCTGCCGCCGCTTCTGCCCCCGCTGCTGCTGCCCCCACCACTGCCGCTGCTCCTGCCCCCGCCTCTTCTGCTGCTTCTGCCTTCCAGTCCTGCCTCATCCAGCCGGGCCATTTGCCAGAGGAGAGGTAGGCGCGAGGAAGGCAAGCTTTCTCCCCCCCCCCCTGCAAAATTTGCCCGGAAAATAAACCGTGATAAACCGTGATAAACAATAAATAATTGTTAATAAATAATTAATAATAAATAATAAAAACATCTCACTAACTTCATTTCCAAATAAATTTAATATGTTAACTATGTTTTCTATGGGTTTTTTGGATGATCAGGTATCGTTACTGTTATTTTATTTTATGTGCGGCCCAAACCAAATTTTCATCTTCTAATGTGGCCCAGGGAAGGTGAAAGGTTGGACACCCCTGTGCTAGTTGTTTCTGGCTCTAGGGGGTGGTGCACATCTCCGTTACAAAGCTGAAGAGCCAGCGCTGTCCGAAGATGTCTCTGTGGTCATGTGGTCAGCAGGACTAAATGCCTTCAGGACTAAATGCCTTCAAAGGTGCACGGAACACTGTTCCCTTCCCACCAAAGTGGGATTTTTCTACTTGCATTTTTTACATGCTTTCGAACTGCTAGGTTGGCAGAAACTGGGACAAGGAACGGGAGCTCCCTCCATTACGCGGCGCTAGGGATTCGAACCGCTGAGCCGCTGATCTTTCTGATCAACAAGATCAGCATCTTAGCCACTGAGCCACCGCTTCCCTTAGTGAAATGGAACAATTCCCTAATTTCTGTTGGGTATTGGGTGTTTTTGATTACACAGATTGCAAAATGTGGGATGAGGAAGCGAGTCTGAGCTAGTCAATCATCCCCATCTCCTTCTCTGTCTCCTCCTCCTCCTCCCATCACCCTATTTTAAAGAGAGAAATAGAAGGGGAAGTTTTGAAAAGAGAGAAAACGGATAGGTCCGATAGATTTCCCAGTGTTTTGATCTTGTCTCGGGAAAGATGATGAGTTTGACGTGATTACACTGGGGTTTCCTTTTCTGGTGAGTTGGACAGAATGTCATCTATTTAGAAATTGTCATCAAGGCCATGAACCTCCCTTTTCTAATTTATGACAAGTCCGATTGAGGCAACGCTATGACATTTTGGCTGAGTGAAGAAATGTATTGTTTTTTTTAATTTTTTTGCTAACAGCTGCATGTGTTTTGCAAAATAGTTTGTGGATTGAACATTAAAACAGGATTGGGAGGCTATGGACTCTGCTAGGGGTGACAATGACAGCAGACTTCCAATATCTGAGGGGCTACCACAAGGAAGAGGGGGAGTCAAGCTATTCTTTAAAGCATCTGAAGGCAGGACAAGAAGCAATAGATGGAAATTAATCAAGGAGAGAAGCAACCTAGAAGTCTCAAAAGTGCTTTCTTCAAGAGATAACTGGACTTTGTTTTTTCTTTGAAGACGTTTCACCTTTCATCCAAAAAAATAACTTTCTATCCTTAATGTAAGATATATTAAAACAGTTCAAATAGCTCCTTCCTTCCTCCTGTCTCTTTTACCCTTCCTTCCTTCCTTCCTTCCTTCCTTCCTTCCTTCCTTCCTTCCTTCCTTCTTTCCTTCCTTCCTTCCCATTTTGTCGTCTTTCTTTTTTTCTTTCATTTTTCCTTCCTCCCATCTATTTTTCCTTCCTTCCTTCCTTCCTGCCTATTTTGTCTTCTTCCTTCCTTCCTTTTCTTTCATTTTTCCTTCCTCCCACCTCTTTTTTCCTTCCTTCCTTCCTTCCTTCTGTTTACCTCCCTCTACACTCTCTTTTCTTCTTCCTTCCCCCTTTCCTTATTTTACCTTCCTTGCTCTCTTTCCCATCTTCCTTCCTTTCTCTTTCTCTTTGTCTTTCCTCTTTCCTCTTTCCCTTTCTCCTTTCCTGTCCCTTCTTGCACGCTTAAATGCAAAAAAAGGGGAAACATTTCTCCTTTTCTTTTGTTTTTTAGTTTGCTTTGATAGCCCTCTGCCAGCGAAAACAGGGTGCAGCTCCATTTTCACGAGCACTCCTTTGCTGTTTCAAGGCTGTCCCCGTGGGCAAGATGTAAGCACTTTGTTGGCTGGATGCAGCCTGTGGGCTTTGAGTTTGACACCCCTGCCTTATACCATTCCCTGATAAATGGATGTCCAATCTTTTCTTCAAAACTTCCTGTGATGGAGTACCCACAACTCTGGAAAGACAAGCTGTTCCGTAGATTAATTGCTCTTCCTGTCTGGAAATTTCTCCTTATTTCCAGTTTGGGTTTCCAGATTGGATTTCCTTTTGATGACTGTTGTAGCCCGCCAGTGGCCAGCAGGAGCTGGTGGCAGACTCGGATAGTGAGGAGGTTGGGAAGAACATGGGCCAGTCCTGGAGTCTGGAGAAGGCTCTGATGAGGACCCTGTGTCAGAGGCTGAGATGGGGCCAGGTCCGTCCGGCAGTTATCAGCTGCCTTCAGAGTCGGACATCAGTGAGGCAGAAGAACAGCTGGAGCCTGTTCCCAGTGTGCGCTTGCACAGAGCTGCCAGGAAAAGGGAACAGCTAAGGAACAAGGGTTGACTTGGGAGTAAAGGCACAGGTGGATTTTGAATGGCCTCTCCCATGGGGAATAAAGAGGAGCGAAAGGGGAGTAGTTGTCTGCAGGAGACAATTAGTTCAATTCACTAGGGTGAAGATCTGTTCCTGATTTCTTGCCAAGTAATTGCTGCTACAGCATGGCGTTTGGAAATATTGGCCTGGCAGTTCTCCCAGCCTGATAAAGGTCTATAGTTGTGAAATCACTTGAAAGGCTGTTTGCTGGGACATTGCTGGAGAGGAATTCACTTTAAACTAAATAAAAGGGATTTTATCAGGACAAAGAGTCTGCTTCATGGTCTTGGGAAGCCTAGGTCAGAACGATGAGCTTCCACCCATTGCTTCTTGCCCTGCCTTCAGGTATTTTGGAGAATAAGTCAATGCCATCTTCTCTGTTCTAGGAACGGTGCCTAGGCCACAATTGTCCAACAGTGGCCTTAATTTCACCAAAGGGTCAAAGAGCTTCGTTAAAGATGTTGATGTCTGAAGCTGTAACTCTGTAAACTGTAGATATCAGGTACCTTACAAATATAAATTTGTTCTAATATGTAATTTCTCCCCTTTGATGTTGTTCCAGCTCTCTACATGAACGAAGAAGCACGAATGGTTTAAGTATCCATTGTTCTGAGAATTGTATTTCAGATAATCGTGAGTAAAAATTTTGTGACTAATTGGAATTCACACTCGACATATGATCTCGAGCGTCTTTATTTGGGGGGAATTTACAATGTTGAAAGGCTGTAATTATAAAAAAAAAAGGGTTTTATACATGCAAAAGTGGAACACCTCATTATGTTCTTTTTTTAAAAAGAAGGAAGTAATGTTCAGCACAAATCTGGCCCCAGGTATGAAACCATGATTAGGACCATTGTCAGGATTAGAAAGGGTAGATTGTGGTGGGTGGATTTACACCAATCCTTCCATCATTGGAATGCTAATGCATTTTCTTGCAGGGGATATGTGTAAATTTTGCTTTTCCACACTAGAAAAGAATATATTCAGCTCAGGGTTGAACTGTGGGTTCCTTGGTTCTCTCTGATCTTGGTGGGTTTCTTGCAGATGTTTCCTGACGCAACTAAACAATATCATCAGTGCTTTGTCGTCGTTCTTCTTCTTGTTGTTGTTAGTTGTGAAGTCGTGTCCAACCCATCACGACCCCATGGACAATGTTTCTCCAGGCCTTCTTGTCCTCCACCATCTTCTGGAGTCCATTTAAGCTCATGCCTACTGCTCCAGTGACTCCATCCAGCCACCTCATTCTCTGTCGTCCCCTTCTTCTTCTTTTGCCCTCCATCATTCCCAGCATTCGGCTCTTCTCCAGGGAGTCGTTCCTTCTCATCAGGCCAAATCATCAGTGCTAGAAGTTATATTATATACTAGTCTAGTAATGAAACATCTGCAATAAAACAGCCAAGCTCAGAGAATAACAAGGACTCCACAATTCTTCTTCTTCTTCTTCTTCTTCTTCTTCTTCTTCTTCTTCTTCTTC